TGTGTGTGTATGTGCACACATGTGCTTGTACATGTGTGAGTGTGGATGTGCACACCTGTAGAGGCCAAAGGTCAATGTTGGTTGTCTTCTGTTTTTCCTCCACTTTAGGTTTTGAGACAGGGCCTCTCACTGAATCTGGAGTTGTCTCTTTCAGGTAAACTTGCCAGCTAGTAAGCCCCAGGGTCCTCTTCTCTACTGACCCCTGGCTCTGGGGTTACCTTTGTGTGTTTCAACGCCAGTCTTTTACATGGGTGCTGAGGATATGAGCTCAAGTAAGTCCTCAGTCTTGAACAGCATGGCTTGACCCACTGAGCCATTTCCCTCCTGCTTTTTGTAGGTTTTCTGCGAAGTGCAGGCTGTTGCCCATGTTGGCTTTAAAATCACAAATCCTCCTTCAGCTTCTCAAGTGCTGGAGTACAGGCATGTGGCACTCGCATCTAGCATGACACCCTCATTTTAAGTACAACCACTTACAATGTTGTGTCCTGCAACCTGGGTTTGACTTTTTTATTCTCTTTTGTTCTGATCTATATGATACATGGCTCTATCATCACATCAAGAGATGCCAGTCATTACTGATGCTATTTATATTTTTTGAAACATGGTTTCATGTAGCTCAGGCAGGCCTCTAGCTGAGGATGACCTTGAGCTTATTATCCTCCTGCTTCTCTACCTCTCGAATTCTGGGATTATAAACAGTCACACACCTAGTTACTGTTGTATTGCTGTAAGAGATGCCATGACCAGGGCAACTTAGAAGAGAGAGTGTTTAATTTGGGTCCACAGTTTCAGAAGGTGAGTCCATTCCCCTTGTAGGAAGCATGGTGCTAGAGCAGTAACCGATAGTCCACGTCTTAACCACAAGTTGCAGAAGGCAAAAGGGGTGAGGATGGAGGCTTGGTGTGGTTGCTTTGATACCTCACAGCCTACCCCCAGAGACATACCTCTTCTAACAAGGCCACACCTAATCCTTCCTAAACAGCCCACCAACTGAGAATGAGACATTCAAATATATGAGCCTGTGGGAGCCATTCTCAAACCATCACAACCGCCTAGCCCAGTTTTATGTAGCCCTGGGGACTGAACCTATTGTCATTTTCATTCCTTAGAGATTAGCTAAGACTTTAGGACAATACAAGGCTTAACCCCTATGGGCATACATATTCTTGCTGACTTCATATAACTGTAATGATCCAAATTCAGACTTTTGTAGAGCTTTTGTTTCTTGGTGGTTGTCTTCAATCCCTGTTAGCCTTTGGCTTCTGGGAATCCAGATTGATGTCTTAGTTTGGGAGTATGCCCCAGTCCCTAAAAGAGGCCCAAACTTCATCTCCACTCTGACAAGGCCCATTTGTTTGAGAAGAACCCATTCCCCATACTCATAATATTTTGTAATGGAAGTTTTGGTTTCCTTAAAAACTTAGTTATGGTAACCTAGTTACTGTTTTATTGCTATAAGAGATACCATGACCAAGGCAACTTAAAAGAGAAAGTGTTTAATTTGGGCCTACAGTTTTAGAGGGTTAGTCCATTTCCCTTGTAGAAGCTTCTTGGCTTCTGATGAGTCACACCGGGCATCAAAACTCAGCGATTTATTGGGAGGGTTGAATTCAGAAGTGGCTGCCTCCGCTCCTGGAGAGGACAGTAGGGAACTGAATAGACATAGGCTTTATATTGGATTTCTTAGGGGACGGAACTTTTTAGGGCAGAGATTTCCAGAGTGGGGACTGGTGGGATTTCAAGTCCTGCGCTTGGGAAGCTCAGAGATTGGTGGGTTTTCCTGCACAGGAACTGGTGGCTTTTTTCACCTCTCTTACCCTGCACCAGGCCCGTGGGTTAGGAAGAGAAGACCTTTTCAGGTGCAAGCGGCTTTGGCTGCATTGCCATTGCTGGAGCTGCTGGAGAGGAGGTGCTGCCACCATGGGCAGCCCCTAGATCCCTCACGACTTCCGCAGGCTGGGGTGGGGCGGGGGAGAGAAGGTGCTGTCGCTTTGACAGGTCCTGCAGCGCACCCCTCAGGGATTACACCCTTCCCATGCCAAAGGTGCATCTTTAAATCCTAAAAATTGCTGTAAGCCTCTTCCCTCAACCCTCCACTTAACTATTAGATTGTGGGTGTGTTGGCACATAATATAGTTCTAACACTTCGGAACTACATCCTTGGCCATAGAGGGAGTTCAGAGCCACGTGCGATACATGAGACCTTGTCTTAAAACCAAAATCCAAATAAACAAAAGGCCTAGATCTAATTGGTCCACTTCTGTTACTAGTGGGACTCAGAGAATGCACCTGCATTGGCTTCTAGCCAGTGAGGCAGAACCAGGACCGTTTTCATGCTTGAGCACACTAGTGACTCTACTGGTCACTAGTGTGCACATCGCAGCTGACATTCAGTGGCTCCGCAGACAAGGAAGATGAGCGAGTGGAAGGCCAGCTCTGGGCCTTTCAACAGAAAAAGGTTGGAACGGAGAAGGCAGGCCAGTGCAGCCTTGGGTGTGTCTGGCAATCGTGTTGGTTAGGAGTGAGTTGGAGCCCAGCGAAGTACTAACACTGAAGAGATCTCTGGACAATCAAAAGGGATCAAAAATAAGGGTCCTACCGAGACCTGGAAATCCACCGCAGCTCCAGGGAGAAGACGGAGACAAATCCCCCAAACTATAGGTTTTAGAAGAAAGCAGAAGGAGCAGCAGACTGCCAGCCCAGGGCCCCGCCTCCCATCCTTCCAAGGCCCCGCCCCTCCCACCTGCCCTTACGTACCAGTCGCAGGTCTTTGCTGCCGCCGCTGCCGCGTGGGGAACAGTTTTCCTCCAGCCTCAATCCCAGCGCTTTTCCTACCCACGCGCACATTTGCCCGCCTTCCCGCACAAGGTTAACGTCCAGTCCCATATAGCTTCACCCTGTGCCTCCTGAGCCCCTCCCTTGGAGACGTTCTCTGGACTCTTGATCTGGGCCCCGTTTTGCTTGTGCTCTGCTCTTCTTCCTTGGGATGAGCTTGGGTGTGCGTCCCTTCCCTAAAAGGTACAAATCTTATCTCCATTCTGGCAAGGTCTTGTCTGAACTGGCGGCGGCAGCAGACTGGACAGTGCAGATAATGCTTTGTCCCCAGGATGTCTTCGGTCAAATTGTCTCTACCCCACCTTACCTAGTGCCTTAAACTAGGTTGGGCAAGTCCCTGGGGTACAGGAAATAGGACAGGGATTGGGGCCCTTCCGCCTTCCCTTTACCCGAGATTATGAACCTAGTACAGCGACAGGTGAGGCCCTATTTCTTGCAGCAGCTACCCAAAAAGCGTACTGGAGCACTCTCCCACTCCTACTTCGGTGCTGCGCTGTTTTCCTCCATCCAGTGGGATACTTACAGCTAGGAGCTAGTCCTGCCCCACCTCCTCCTTCCCACCTCCCCAAGGTTCTTTCTCTCTCTCTCTTTTTTTTTCCTTCATTCACAAACCACTTCTGGACAGTTGTGTTATTTTTCCTTCAGTGTTCATGCTTAGATGCTAACTAACCACTACTGCTGCTGCCAGCACCAAGTATTCATCCTCAACCTTCTGGTTCTGTCAGCATTCCCTTCCTCAAGGTACTCTGTGGGGAGGGGAGACTCAGTGCGGTGGGTTGCATTACTAACTGCCATTAAACTTAAGCCATCTTTCCCCAGGCCTTTTCATTTTTTTAAATTTTATTTTATGTGTATAAGTGTCTTATGTGGATGTATGTCTGTGCAGTACATTTGTGATGTGTTCAAGGAAGTCAGAAGAGGGTGTCAGATCTCCTAGAACAGTAATTGTGGACAGTTGTTTGTTGCCATGTTGGGTGCTGGGAATTGAACCCAGGTCCTCTGCAGGAGTAGTCAGTGCTTTTAACTGCTAAGTCATCTCTCTAGCCCTTCCAGGCCTTTTTTTTTTTTTTTAATTAATGCATGTGTCAACACACACATATATTTAACAGAAATGTACATACACACCCATACACGTTTGCAGTTATTTTTCTACCATTTTCAGTGTTTTTTCCTAGCTGTCTTTTGTGTTTCTCTTTTCTGTTCCCTAAATGTATCTATACCTGAAGCTTATCAGTCCCCAAATTTCCAGATATTTGAGTTTTATTTCTAGCTGAGTGGTTATCATGACTTGCTTCATGCCCCTTTTCCTCCCTGCTCTTTTTTTTTTTCTGGAGAAGTTTCTGCCATTTCCTTTAGTTACCCTGTTCTTGGCTTCTAGCCCTTCTTGCTTCTTCTCTGTCCCTTGGTCCTTACCTTCAAGTTGTCAAGACACCACTGATGAGGACCTTTTCGGCCAGCCTTCCGTCTTCCTCTCCATTGCCCTTCCTCTTGCTCTTAGAATCTTCTCTATTGTCCTTCATGCCTTCAGTACCCTGAGCCAGATTCTCCTTGTTTTCCTGCGTACTATTTTCTCTCTACTTTCCCAGATGTCTCCCAGGAACTCTGTGGTCCAGTCACATGGCTTACTTGTCAGACCCCTGGGGAGGACAGTCTCTTCTCCTTCCTTGCTGGCTATTCTGCTCTCTGAGAATGTCTCCTAACTCTTATCAGGTCTGGGGACCCTGCTAGTCTGGTGCCCCAGTGTTTTAACCTCTCATTAGAAACATCCCTGGAGGGTGTTGGTAGGTGTATGCAGTGGAAGGCCGTGCCTTTGACGTGTGTCTACCTCTGGGTCTGCTTCTCCTCAGAGGTGAATGGCTCTTGGGACAACCACATGGCTTGCTAAGCCCCTGGATTCTACAAATCCTGGATTCGAGCTGGGAGTAAACTAACCTGAGGAATTTCATGGCTTCAGTGGGGCCAGCCCTTTCCATCAATTCAGGAAGGCTCCACTGTGAACTTAGGGGAGGTCTCTGTGGGAAAGGGGATGCTCATGAACCACTTAGGAGTGTCTGTGGACAAGAGGCAGCCATCATCTCCTTTACTTTTTCCCACTCTGAATCTTAGTGAGGTCAGTTTTGTAGACTTGTGTTAAAGCAACTGTGATCACCCATTTTAGGCCAAGAATGTCTTCTGAGAAGTTAGACGAGAACCATCAGCCTAAAAAGGTAAGAAAGCAACCAAGCGAACAAATAGAGGGGGCATTTGGGAACCACACAAAATGTCACTTGCCAACATACAAGTCCACTGGCTTCTAAAATGTCACCAACATAGCTCCAATACCTTCTGCACCAGGCTTGCAAACTTAGACATTTATAGGACAAGTGATAACTTAGGTGAACCTAAAAAGCAGGTTCCTCTTCCTTCCTCTCCTTTCTTCCCCACCCCAATACTAAGGCTCCAACCAAGGACCTCCACTAAGCTAGGCAAGTGTAATACTGACCTACATCTCCAGCCCTACTGCTCTGCTGGCCTGGAACTCACTATGTAGAGCAGGTTGGCCTCAAACTCACAGAATCTGCCTGCCTTTGCCTTCAAAGTGCTGAGATTAAAGGTGCACACAAACCAGGGTTTCATTATGAAGCCCAGGCTAGCCCCACATGTGTGGCAACCCTGCCGCAGTCTCCCAGGTGCTGGCTGGGATTGCATGTGTGTATTTTTATCGTCACATATTTATTTAGCTTGGGTGCTTCTTTGAGAGCACAGCGTCAGCCAAATGCCACACACACGGGGATATCAATTTACAGACTGTTTATGGCCGATACTTAAGTTTGTTTAGCAAAGTGGTGATAATGGTGAGGTGGATTATATACATTATCATCAAGCCAGATATATATCACATTATCTGCTCAGTGCATGGAACCAGGTAATATAAAGACAGCGCAAATTATGATTAAGTTAATAGAATGTGTCTCTCATCTTCCTATATATCATTTCAAGATATGTCACAAGGGCCATCATTTATTGTAATGCTACTTTCCTGTGGCTTCCTGTGTCATTTAGGTCTTCAGAACTCTGCAGGATGGGTGCCGTAGAGTTCTGTGTTTCAGGTAGAGAAATCTGTGGCTCAGAGAGATGATGGAAAGTGTCCAAGATAAAATAGCTTGTAAATGGGATTGCTGGGTGTAACTCCAACTCAGAGCTCAGGACCATGCAGCCAGGGGCTTCCTTCCTCTCAAGACTGCTGTCTACATGCATAGGTAGGAGATATGCCAGAGCAGCAGAAATGACCAGAGCCTGGGGAATGTTAGGAGTGGCAGGGGTGGCTCTCAACTGAATGTTAAGAAAATGCTCCTTGGAGAAAGTGCTGACAGAGTGGGGGTTAGCCATGGGCAGGAAGGCAGTGTTGTGCATAGTGCAGGCTAAGTAGAGCACATGCTCTGTTGGACTGGTGGGGTGCAGCTGGTGTGCCTGGGACATGGTGTGGGCCTTGAAAGGAGGAAGTCTGTTACAGGTAGGTGGTAAAGGGCTCCAAATGCTAAGCTTAGGAATGGGAATTGGAGGAGACAGCTATGAAGTGTGTCAGAGCCAGGCAACGTCATGACCTATCCGCCTCCAGGGAAGCTAGACTGCTATCAGTGTTGAGGGATGGACTGGAAAGGAAGGGTAGATCCTGGTCTTGTGGAGTACTCATTGCGCTTGAGCCTGCCATAAGCTAGAGTTGGGGGTGAAACAAGGGCTGGGAGATGTTATCAGGAAGAATGAACAAGAGGAGCATTAAGAAGGAGCAGGGAGGAGAGAGGCTGGGTGGATGGTAACTGTCAACCCCATCTGGCTCTGTCAAGGCAGGGTTCTTGCTTTGTGCTTGCTGAACCCGCAGAGCCTGGTGCTCAGTGAGCGCGTGTAGACTGTGGGGGAGTTAGTGGGCATTCATAGGAGCCCAAGTATGTTTGCCCCTTTGGTGGGGCTGAAGTCCATTAAAGAGTTCTTAGCTAGGTGGGTGGAATACTCCTGTCATCTCAGCACTTGGGAGGTTGAGGCAGAGGGATCTCAAGGCCAGCTTGGGCTACCTGGTGAGACTGGCTCGATAAGCAAAACAAACTAACTTTAAAAAACAACAAAAAAAAGGAACCCATGTCTTCTAACCTTGCTGACCCAAACTCGGCATCCATAAAAGGAAAATGGTTGCCATCCCCCCACCACAAGAAGGACTTTTAGACCTTTCTCCATCATCATAGGATTAAAATACGCCAGAAATTGTTAGGAAGCCTCACTGCTTTGGGCAGTAAGCAACACTGTGCACTTAGCCACTTCCTCACAAATTCCCCTTGTAAATAAAATACGCCAACAAACATTTGTCTCAGAGAACTAACTCTCTCAGTGCCTGGTTCTTATGGTCATATTTGTCCCAGCTGTCCTTTCCACGTGGATCCCAGGACAAGGAGACTTCTGACTCCACGACGCTGACATACTCTGTTAGCCAGACCATCAACACCCAGAAGCCGCAGCAGTTTGCCGAGATGCACCTGGCTGAAATACAAAAGTTGTTTGAGAAGGAGACAGGCAAGAGTGGAGGTACAGCCATGCTGTAGGCTGGTCTCCGTGACCCCTGCTCAGGGCCTGGCATCAGGGCTGTGGAGGGCTCTGACCTGATCAGCATTTTTACATGTGGTGTCTTGTTTAAAAATTCTCTTTGGGTAAGTGCAAGGATATTGAAGGCTATTTGGGATCTAAGACTTTTTTTTTTTTTTTTAATCCCACTAGTCCAGTTACCCAAGTATACCCTGCAGCATTTTGGTGTGTTTCCCTTTAAGCATTTTAGCCTGTGGTTTGTTATCAATCACTGTGTGACAGCAGGCCCATGATCTTCCTGGCTTAACCCAACAAGTGCTCGTGATCTCATAGTTTCTGTAAGTCTGGATCGAGGCCAGGGATGAGCTGCCATCCTGCTCAGAACCTCAAAAGCTGACGTTCCGAGGTCACCTGGGGCCATGGCATTATCTGGGGCTTGACTCGGGAAAGACTTACTTCCAAGCTTACATATGCTGTTCCAGAATTCATATCCTTGAAACTATGGTATGGAGGCCTCTCATTTTTTTTCTGGCTGTTGCAAGGAGGCTGTCTTCAGCTCCCAGAAGCCGCCTCATAGTGGCTGGCCATGTGGGATTTGCCAACATAGAATCTGTCAAAGCTTGAGCCAAAGGTAAAGCAACACTTACAGGAGTCACAGTTTATGGTCATGGGACTGTAGGCAATGATGTGATACCCTGTTGTCTAAAAGCAAGTCAAAGGTCTCATCCTAAGCAGGAGGGGACCACAGGAAGGTGTAGACAGCAGGACCTGCCCATCCTGGGGGACTCTGTAAGTATCTCTAATCTTACTCCTCAGATACTAATTTGAAGTAGAATATATTCCGAATTGAGAAAGGATTTCACACCTGACCAATCAAACACTAGCTTAGCCTCCCTTACCCAGATGTGCTCAGAACACTTACTCGGCTCTGGCTGGGTAAAACCAGATAATACAATGCACATCTTAAAGTAAAGTGTGAGATAACTTATGAAAGGTAGAAACTTTGATTAAATGGATTTGCATTTATACTGCTATAAAGTGGAAGAGCTCTAAGCTGGGGATTGTGTGTATTATAACAGATCCTTCTTTTTCACTTGATTTTTATGTCTGAAGGACTTGATTGGGGTCTCAGAGCCTCCTAGGCAAGCCTTACTAACGGGTCTAAGTGTTCTTCTGTGACTGGAGCTATCCCTCTGTTTTGTTTATTTACATTTCATAGGCTATAAATGATGTTTTGGGGATATCCTCTGCAGTCCAGATCTTCTCCCTCCAAACAGCTTGAGATCTGCCCTTTGGAATGATAACTCCTGAAAGTCAAATAGGAGTAAAGGCATTATCAGAGTTTCAAAGTTGAGTTGATAGAGTGTGGACGCTAGGGCTGGGCCTAGCTACTTTCCTGTTCCTTTGAATTTCTCAGCCACACTATGCAGCTTGGAGAGGGAGGGAGGAAGAGAGCGAGAGCGAGCAAATGAACGAGAGAACATGTTGAGGCTAGAAGTTGACATCAGGATATCTTCTAATGATTTTCACCTTATTTCCTTGAGTCAGGGTCTCTTCTCCAGATCTGAGGTTTGTTGTTTTGGAAAGTCTGGTGGACAGCAAGCCACTAGGGTCCAGCAGTCTTTGCCCTGCCTATGACTGCGGTTGCAGGCATGTGCTGCCGTGTCTGGCTTTGTGTATAGGTTCCTGGGGCTGAACTCATATCTTCATACTTGCAAGGCAAGTGCTTTACCACCAAACTGGCTTTCCAACCTGAGCTTTGTATCTGTAAACCTCTGGCCCTGGTGTTCGTTTAAGGAAGGACAGTTCCTTTACATTGATGGAAGGTTAGGAAATCAGTCTGGCTTTTTTCTTTAGACACCTTCAACAGGGCTATGGAGAATATGGGTGGCATACCATTTCCCAGGCACCTGGACGCCAGCCCTGGTGGCAGAAAGAGTGAGGCATGTTGGTGCTTTCCTGGTCACTGTGTCCTTCAAGCCAGGGAGTTCTTACGGTATGGAAGGCCCATGACTCTGAAGAGACCTCCTTCCCCTCTCCTGAGGCTTTGCAAGTAGTTTTGCTTTACCTATTTCCTGAGGAAGGTCTGCAGTGCTCATAAACTGTCATTGTCACCATGCAGACATGGAAGGACCATGGAGCAACACTTACAGCATGGAAGCCTCTTGGCCCCAGCTTTACATACTTGAAATGGACATTTCTTCCAGCAAGTACATGTTGCTCAGACTTTTGTTTGACCCTCAGTCTAGTGTGGCAGGCACAGTGGCACTGGGTTGCTGTGGATGAATAGGTCGGCGGTTTGAAGATCATGAGCTCTATGGACAGACTGACATTCCTATCTCTCACTACCTACCTACTTGCAGGCAGCATCTGTTTCCTCAGAGCCTCCCTTATGTTGCCAGTATTTATAGGGCACAGAGAACAAAGCTATCACTTCCTGGTGCACATAGAGACACTTGGACCAGTGTTGAGTTATGGAAGGGCTCTCATGCGCTTCCAGAGGTCATGGTGGAATGGGAGGCAGTGCAGGCGTCAGACAATAGGCAATCAGGCAGCAGGGACAGTAGCCTCTTCAGCCAGTCCTTAGGAAGAAGGGCATTCTTGTAGAATGAGTGACTTGAACTTCAGGGAGGGACATCCCTGTGAAAGGGACATATTGTGAAAAGGCCCTGTGGGGTGTGTAGAGAGGTCCTTATGGCTGGAGCAGAGTAGGAAGGACATGGTAACAGATGGTACTTGCTGAGAGGAGCCAGGTACTGCATGGCCCTCTCTGGCCATGGTGAGGGCTCCAGTATTTGAAGGGGATTTATAAGTGATTTATTTTATTTTTTAAATTAAATTATATATATATATTATAATTTATTTACTTTGTATCCCCACTGCAGCCCCCTCCCTTGTCTCCTCCCAGTCTCACCCATCTTCCCTCTTTTCCTGTGCCCTTTCCCTAGTCCCCTGATAGGGGAGGACCTCCTCCCCTTCTATCTGACCCTAGCTTATCAGGATTCAAGGCTGGCTGCATCATCTTCCTCTGTGGCCTGGCAAGGCTGCACCCACCAGGGGGAGGTGATTAAAGAGCTGGCCACTGAGTTCATGTCAGAGACAGCCCCTGTACTCCTTACTAGGGAACCCACTTGGAAACTGAGCAGCCAATGCGCTTCCTTTGAACAGAGGGTCTAGGTCCTCTCCCTGCATGGTCCTTGAAGTCTTGGTCTCTGCAGGCTCCCCTGGACCCAGGTATTTTGGCTCTGTTGTTCTCCTTGTGGAGTTTCTGTCCCCTCTAGGTTTTTCTATCTCCCTCTTTAGAAGTAATTTAAAAAAAAAGATTTTTAAAATTTATTTATTATATATACAGTGTTCTGCCTGTGTGCATGCCTGTGTATCAGAAGAGGGTTCCAGATCTCATTATAGATGGTTGTGAGCCACCATGTGGTTGCTGAGAATTGAACTTAGGACATCTGGAAGAGCAACCAGTGCTCTTAACCTCTGAGCCATCTCTCTAGCCCTTGAAAGTGATTTTTGAAGGCAATAATGATATAAAAAATTAGACAGGGTCAACTGACACCTTTGCAAACAGATTTTCTTATAGCCATAGAACCCAGCTCAATGATTAAGTATTTTATTCTTTCCTTGCCTCTCTTCTTCCCCATCTCTCTCTCTAGTCAAAGGCTGTTGTTGTTGTTGTTGTTGTTATTGTTATTATTATTATGTCTTTCTGAAACAGGATCTCATGTAGCCCAGGCTGGCCTTGAACTTGCTCGATAGCCCAGATTGACCTTGTTCTCTGAACTTTCTGCCTCTGCCTTCCACATGCTAGAATTACAGGCACACACCATCACGCCTGTTTTCATAAATTGTTTTTAAGAGATAAACTTAACAGGCTGTGGTGGTTGCTGCTCGTTACTTGCACCAGAGGTGCCTCTGGTCTGTGGAGACTTGTTGCTCTAGTCTGTATCCCTTGATCAGAAGTGGGATTTTGCCTTCTGAGAGCCTCTGTCTACCCTCCCTCCTGCTGAGGGGTAAACACAGTGGCGGGTGTTCACGAGGAACCACTGAGTGTGGGCAAGTGAGATGGGAAAGACAATCGGGTGATGGCAGAAGCACCAACAATCATTGGGCCTGTGCTAGGCTGGATGCTAGTCCCTTAAAGGAGAGTGGACAGGGTCAAGCTGATGACTGATGACGGGCTTGGGGAAGGGTTGCCCGCTGAGGAACTGTACTGCCAGCTAGAGTTCTGAAAATCACAGGCAGGTAGCAGAGAGTGTCTGGAGTCGGGGGTGCCTACAGCCTGTGGCCTTCAAGGGCCATGCGACCTGTGATGAAGCACCAATGTTTTTCTTTCTCGAAGCCCTGGACAAGAAAACTTTTACCAGGATCATGAAGAGGGTGATGAGCAACATGACGGAGGAGATGCTTGAGGTGCTCTTCTTGAAGGTGGACTCAGACTGCAATGGATTTGTCAAATGGGTAAGGAGGGTGCATGGCTGCCGCAGGAAGCTGGGAGAGGATAGAGGGACCTCTCAGTGGCGCAAGCAGAGGCTTGAGATAGGAGTCAGCAAGTTTCAGACAGTCAGTCTGGACTCTTGTACCAGCTGGGGCACCTGCCAGGTGGAGGGAAGCTTGGCGTCTGTGAGGGGTCACCTTTGAGACTTCTGTGAGGTGGGCTCATTGGCCCTGGCATCGAGACCTTCTTATCAAGCACTCACACCTGAGGTATAGCTAGCTAGCCTCCCATTAAGGGTAGGGGATCTTCATCAGTACCATAACAGTATCATGGCCCTTTCTTGTCACGCTGTTGAATCCGGAGCTGTGAGGTCTTCACAGCACAGTAATAATGCTAACTCGGAAGAACTCAGAACATTAAGAGAGCACATGGCCTTAAGCCTAACAGAAACGTACAGAGCCTCATCAGGGAGACTGATGTCGTGAAGATGACAGCGAAGCACCATGATCAGCCCTTTGTGTATTCCCCTGTTGAAGACTCTCAGGATCCAGAAGGAGTGGTGGTTGGGAAACTTAGCCTCAGAGCCACTAGGAACTTTATTTTAGTGTTACAGAGCTGGCCACCAGCTGAGCCCATGTTTAAACCCGGGGAGTGTGCCTCAAAGGGGATAACAGCCAGTGATCACCTCCTCGTGGTTTGGATATAACGTTCCCAGCTTTCTCTGACCATCTACACAATGATTCTTGACAACTTTTTTTTTTTTTTTTTTTTTTTTTTTGTGGTAGGATTTGAACTCAGCATGCTAGGCAAGCACTCTACTACTAAGCTACATCCTTACCTTCCCTCCTTCCAATCCTTCTTTCCTCTTTCCCTTCCTTTCTCACTGAGATGAGATGTTGCCCAGGTTGGTCTTGAACTGTTGGACTCAGGTGATCCTCTGTCTCAGCTTTCTGAGTAGCTGGGACTGCTATCCCTGGCTTCTACTTATTATGGCCTCATATGTCTGGCCCTTGGCCATGTTTTAGTGAGGCTGGTTGCTGGAGCCCAGAGTGGCCAATATTTGTAGGCTAAGTGTACCCACATAGTGTAGACCCTTTCTACTGTTAACTTGGTCATGGACTTAGACAAATCAGACATGGTGGATCATCCTCCATGTGAAGCAGACGTGATCAGGAGTTTTCCACGGACGGTCAAGTGGTGTGGCTGTGCCAGAGGAGTGCTTCATGTTATACATATTTAAGATTCCAGCACAGCCTCTTGCTGGTCTACTTCCCTTGTGAGTGCTCGGAGGACAGCCTTCAGAGCCACTTGGATGGGGCCATATAGACTTAAGGGAAACCACTACACCAGGCTTGGGTCCTTAAAGGTAAACATTAAGACCACTGCCAACACCTTGTTTCCCTCGCTTTGTTTTTCTGAGGCAGCAAGAGTATGTGGATTATATGATGCGTGAGTTCCAGGGCAAGGAGGAGATAAGGAAGAGCCAATACCGCCTGCGCTTCCACCTTCCCATGACCATCATTCCCCTGTAAGAGCCTCCTCCCTGCAGCTGGGGTGGGCCCCTCCTCAGTCCATGAGCTGCTCGGCCAACCAAGCTGCTTCCTGGCCTCTTGTCCCTTCAGCTTGTTCTTTCCAATCTGTTGGTGGTCATGATGACAAAGGTAGGTGGCTTGTCTCCTCATCACAGATGTGGGAGCCAAGGCTCAGAGAGGCCAGCCTGATGGCTTGCCTAGGCTGACAGGCAGAAAGAGGTGGGGCCGTTCTCTTCCCCACCTCCTCTGCACACTGCACTGTTTCTCCTGCTTCTCTCGATGGCCAGTGCTGAGTGAATCTGGCAGTTTCATCCCCAGATGGCTCACATATGTACAGCTTGGATTCTACTGGGAGGAAGCTGTGGATGCCCTGGCCAGGCTGTGAGGGCCTTGCAAGGCCTTGTTGACCCACAGGAGAGGGTGGTGGTTGGCTATGCCTGAGCTGCTACTCACTCCGCTTGTGACCCCTTTGCCCATGGTGTCCACTGGAGCTCAGCCTTGGAGTGCTTCTGTAGCTGATGACCCACAAGAGAAGATCCTACAGACTTAAATAAGTTTTATGTTTTCGTGGGAATCCTCCTGGGGAAGTGAAAGTACAGAAGCTGTAAATCCTGAGTGCTGAGTGCTAGGTTTGAGGAAGAGTGAAAAGTTGTGGGAAAATTGCATATTTAATTTTTTAGATGACATGTGTCCCAGGCTCGTCTCTAATTTGACATGTAGGCTGAATTTTTGATCCTCCTACCTCTGCTTCCTGAGTGCTGGGATTATAGGTATGCGTCCACTTTTATAGCGTTCTGGGAAGCAAATCCAGGGCTTCATGTACACTAGCCAAGCACTACTCCAACTGATCTAAATCCCTAGTGCCTAGGGGAAATTAGGGCATTGTAGGGAGGAGGTAGTGTAGTAACCTGGGGGAGACTTAGCCAGCCTGTCCATCCCGTTCCTCCCTGTGTCCTTGGCTATTCAGAAGCAAGGTTGTAGCTGAGAGTGGTGGTGCACGCCTGTAACCCCAGAACTCAGAAGGTAGAGGGAGGAGAATCAAAAGTTCAGCTACATGATGAGCCTGGCATACATGACACCCTGTTTCGGTGGGGGTGGTGGTGGAAAGATTGCTTTCACCTGGGATCTTATGAGCCGAACAAACCGCTGCTCAAATACCTTCAGCTGAAAATATGCACAGCCTTCCTAATGCTGTGATCCTTTAACACAGCTCCGTATGTTGTGGAGACCCTCACCCCCATCCTAAATTATTTTTGTTGCTACTTCATAGAGTGGTTTTGTTACTGTTATGAGTCGTAACGTAAGTACCTGATATGAGACCCTTGTGAAAGGACTGTTTGACTAAGTGGGTCTCGAGCTACAGGTGGAAACCTTACTGGCTGAGAGCTTGGCCTTCTGCAGCCAGGGCACTTCCTTCCCTGGAGCCACCCCAGTTGGAGCACCAGCAGCCTGGGTTGTGTGGCCACGGTGCCAGCTCCTGCGGAGCAAGCGCAGTTTGGTGAGCCACATTTGTGGTTTGTTGGGGCCAGCTGTAGGTGGGCGGGTCCTTAGCCACACCCAATGCAGGCTATAGAAGAGCAAGATCTAGAGTCTGTCTCTGCCTCTGGTAACCTGGAGCTTTAGTGCAGTAGGTGGCTCAGTGGAGATCATAGAAGAGCAGCTTGTAAAAAATTATGGTTGGTAGTTAATTGAGGAGTAGCCAATTAAATGTGAATAATGAGAGTTTTTATAACTCTAATTTTGACATGAATACTTGGCTTGATGTAACTTCTCCTTCACCAGTCTTTCTGTTTATTCAGATCTCAGAATCTGGAACCAAAAAGAAACAAACAAAAAACAACTCAGGAAGCTTCTTCCTTATTTGCTCTAATTTATTTCTACAGCTTACAAACCCAGAGGGATCTCTGATCTGATGGAGAAAGTAGCCAGAAGAGCCAAGCAATGTTCAGTTAATTTTATGAGAGAGTGGCTCTTAAAAGTCACTAACGATCTGGGCTGAGCACACACCCAGGACACCACCCTCTTTGACTCCTTCACTGTCCAGAAAGCGAGAGGTGCGGTCATCACATGGATGAGGAAACAGAGCTCCCTAGGATGCCATTCCTTGGGCTGTGTTAGCTTCAGGGCTCACCTCTCTATTCCTCACAGATTTTGGTACTGATAGGAGGGTAGAGCTGAAGTGATGGAGGGAGAGAGAGAGGAGATAGAGCTGAAGTGATGGAAGGAGAGAGAGAGAGAGAGAGAGAGAGAGAGAGAGAGAGCACGGAGAAGTAGGCCAATGGCAGGAGGCAGGGGATCTATAGCTTCTGTGGAACTGCAGTGAGAAATGAACTGGAGTTCATAGTGGTGTGGGTTCCCTCTAAGCCTCAGGTCAGCTCATGCCTGTTTTCAAGCTTTGGAGAAGGCTCTGGAGGAGGGATGAAAGCACTGGGCTTTAGTTCTACTCTGCTAGGCCTGAGAGGGATGCTCTTCTCTGTAAGTGATGTAACCTGCCCTGCCCTGCCATGACACAAGATGGGCACATGCCATAGGGGAGTGGGAGCCCTGATAGCCAGAGAGCTGGCTTTGCAGACACTAGGGCAGAAAAGCAACCCCTGGCAGATAGCGTTGAGGCCTGCCCAGGAACTGTTTGCAGTGGTCAGCATCCTGGCCTTGAAGAGTTGGGTGCATAGAGCCCAAGTCCTTGTTACTCCTTGCTCTACTCTTGTCTGTTCTATTCTCCTCTTCACCCCAGAGCATGAGAGCAATGGTTGGAAAGTGTCATTTCTCAGATTACTGTCACAAGCCATGCCCTGGTCGCCATCTGTGGGCTGTTTCTTTAGTGACAGAAGCTTTGAAGATCTCTATTCTCCATCTCTGCTCTCCCACTACAAAGTGAGGGACTTGGCTGGTCATTTCTCAGGATGGGTTTGGGACTCCATTTCATACCATATTATAGTTAGTTATTATTATTTTTCGATTGAACCCAGGGTGAACATTCTACCACCGAGACACACCCTATTCTCCACTGGGGTTATTTTCTTGTGGCCTTTGTTGATCCAGTTGAAATCCACTTGTAGAAGGGACAGAGTCCCATGTCCCCTGGAGACACCTACAGTTTCTTGGTGTGTGTGTGTTGTGTGCGTGCACATGTGTGTGGCTGTCGCTGCTGGCCTACCTCTTTTGTGGCACTTGCTTCACGCAGATACTTCTTTTCTGAGTCATGTCCTCATGCTTCTTACCATCTGCAGGCATCATGGGAGCGAGATTGTGAAAGTGGAATTTTTATTCAAACGGTTCAAAACGATGGGGTATTTCCTGACTGTTACCAAAGACGGGCTCCTCCAGTTCTGGTCTGAGGCCTTCTCAATGATATCCTCCTTTCGGGTGAGTGGGACACTCATGGGGTTGGTGGAGAGCCCCTGCTGTGGCACCCTGAGTAGACTTGCCCTTGGCACTCATCATCCAAGCAGCCAGGCCTTGAAGTCACAGGGTTTAGGTCAAGGTGGTGACTTAACCATGGGGACCTCAAACTTTCCGTCTGCTAAGCAGAGTCCTGCCTGGGTGTCCACTAGGCACCTCCAAGGCAGTTTTCCCGAGGAGTGTGTCCCTGCAGTGCCCCCATATCAATGAGTGTGATCCGCTCGCCTCTGCCAGTGCCCACCCTTCTCTCCTTGTCCTGTCATACCCACACTGCCCCTAAGCCCTGCTGGCTGGGGCTAAGGTTTGTGGAGGTTGCATTACTCCTGCATGTGTGTGCGTTCATATCTGCATCCTTGAGCCTGTGGTTTCTGTCACACTCCTGTCTTCCTTTTCTCCACATGTGTGTAGAATGAGGTTTAATAGACTGACCTCTTGGCAGTGACTGCCATATGGTCACCTCTGTGCCCCTAAGGAGTTCTGAAGAGACAGAGGAAGCCTTGCTGGAAAGTCTTGAGAGTTCTGGAGATTCTTCCCAGAGGACCTGGTTTGGGGTTAAATTTTGGCAAGGGTGGGCCTCCCAGGACCATTGGTGAACACCCACTGGGGGCTTGCTGTCATGCAAATGGGAGGCTTTGGAGGTATACCTGGCCCTAAGTCTCTGGGATCATGAAAATGGGTAACTACTAGGCCTATTTTACAGATGAGAGAACAGCCTGGAGGAGGTTAGCCAAGGCCCTGTTTTTAGTGCCGGCATAAGTCTCCATGCCAGGACTGTGATTGCTCCAGGGTCTTGTGTGGTAGGAAAGATCCCTGTGCCTCTTCTGCACTCTGTTAGGGACCCTCCATGGCCTGAGCGTCCTCTGTTCTTCCGCCAGCTTGCCCAGCCCCAGCAGTTCTACCACCAGCAGATGTGGGTGGTTGACATGATATGTCTGCACAACATGAACCTCATCGCAGTTGCCTCGACTGAGCTAAAGATAGGTGAGTCTCTGCGGCTCTCCAGGCCTGCCCTTGGCTTCTAGCGAGTGGCGCACTTGGGACAGACCTGTTGGCTGTGCAACCGGGAGCACGAGTGGGGGCCCTCTGGGAATGCATGGGGAGGCCTCAGTCAGTGGGGCCTGCGGAGTGTTGTGCTGTAAGAGGCCCTGCGTGTTGGTTACTTGTGTTGGTGACTGCTTTTGTAGGCAGGCGTGCTCAGTGAGTGCTGTATGTCTACATGTATCAAACAGTTCAAAATTTAAACCATAGCCCATGCCAGTCTCTCCAGTTTGATTCTAACCTTTTTTTTTTTTCTCTGCTGCCTCCAGCCCAGGCCACCTTCTGCTGTCAGTGGAATAGCACTGAAGCCTCCTTTTGGGCTGGCACATTTCCTCTGAAGGTGCCCATAGCTACAAATGGGTTTTTGAAATGTCTCCCTGTAGAAAACCTTCACACCCCACCCCTACCCCCACAAATCACAGAATGGAGGGGGATCCTTAGTGTAGCTCCTGAGGCAAGGGTGGTCCGGCCTCTGCTGCTCATTGTTTTTCCTGGACCAGCCCCTCCTCCTGTTGTGCGGACTCTCCCATGACCTTCTCGGATGGACACTGTGGATCTGTGCTCACACTCTGCCTAACCTCTCACTCATCTCCTCACCCCAGAGCTTCTTCTTTTCCTTTGATGCATCACAAGTGTTATTTCCTCAGAGACCTTTCCATGATCACCTAGTCAAAGTCAGGTTCCTCTTTTAAAAAAAAAAAAAAAAAAAAAAAAGGCATAAGGTAAGGCCCTCTCCCTGCCAAGCCCCTTCAGAATGTGATCATATATTTGTCAGTGTGTGTCTTTGATAATCTGCCTTCTCTATGCCGGAGAGGACATTAGTGAGTACCCACAGCCCATAGTGCAGAGCTAAATAGGAGGGTGGAGAGCAGCTGAAACAGCCAGTGGCCAGGTTTCAACCCTGGCCTTGTCACTCAGTAGGTGTGTGACTTTGTGCAGCTACTTCACTTTCAAGGGCCTTAGGTTACCAAGAAGGAAAAACAGAGCAATGCTCTGATCTCTATGGTGAGTGTGGCTTAGTGATTGGATGTGTGAGGTGCTTGACATACACTATGTACTTTAGCCAATATTGTCCTTATCAAGAGGACAGACTGTGACACAGCCAGAGAAGCCTCTAGTCATAAGCAAGGGCTTGAGCAGCTAGGAGCTTATTGTGTCCCATGATTCCAGGTACTCTCTCCCTTTACCCTCAGCCCCAAGAGCCTGGCCCTATCTCCTCAGGCCATCAAGTTGTGCTGACTGAACAGATGTGGTCTCCTCAGAGCATTTGGTCAAGGCCAGAGGCCAGAGGGTGGGAGGGTACCCAGCATGGGCCTTGACTTAAGTGGCTCAGCCGGTCTAGCTCTGTTCTGTGACCCATATCCCTTCTGGGGTGGCTGGGCCTGTAGGAAGGAGACACTTGGAAGCCTGTCATTCAAACGTGGGAGGCTGCTCCCCATTAAGACAACTGAATTGAAACTGGGGCTGTCAGAGGAGCCAGGCTTCCAAGGTGGTGAGATTTAGATTTGGCAGCTGTGTGCCAGGGTCCCATGGAAGGCTTTTGGGCAGGATGTTTTCAGAAGGTGAATGTCTGGCACCAGCCAGTGAGGGTTGCACAAAACCACTCTACAATCTGTTCTTCATATGCACCTGTATGGCATGAGCTTACCTGGTCTCTGATCTGCTTGGGGTTCCCAGCTCTAGCCCTGATGAGGAGTGGTGAGCGATGGGGAGGGGCTGTATCTGTTTCTGTCTGCTCTAAACACCTGAAAGGGACATCGACTAGTGGAAGCCATAGGGGCCAGAAGTTGCCTGCTACCCACATTACCCAGGGTTCGGACCTTGTGCCTTTATTTGAGCATCACAGCCACAGTCACTCAGCAAAGCAGAGCCCCAGGTGCTAGGTTAGATGCCCTGGATCCCACGGGTGCCGTGCAAATATGCTCCCTGCCCTCACACAGCGGTCAGGCCAGGCCAGGCCAGGCAGCTCCTGTATTCAAATATAACAGAAATGAAGTTGAGGCAGAGATAAAGGTGGTGAGGGAGGTTGATGGGCAGCCAGCCAGGTGGCAGAATGCCAGTGGGCCCTGCAGAAGAGGGGGAGGCCTTTCTAAGAAGCAGTCAAGGAGCTGATCTGGAAGGGGTCTGGTTTGGGAGTGTTCAAGGTGGACAGAGAAGGGAGTGGATGATGTTGATGCATCTACAGAGGTAAAAAGCTGGCATGCTTAGAGCCTGGTGGCTGGGCAGGGGCCACAGGGCAGGCAGGGGTAGGCACAGAGGCAGTGTTTCATGTACAGAAGATACACTGAGTTGTGGAGGGCCTGATCTTATAGGACTTTACAGTCTGAGATCTGCACTGGGGTTTTACTCTGGGTGCGTGGGGCTAAGAGGCTAGTTTGCAGATGAATCTTGGCTCCGTGAGTGGCTATTCTTAGATCTGCTACCCTTGTGGCTGGGTGTGTGTGTGTGTGTGGGGGGGGACTACAGGGCCAGGGAGATGGCAGGGAGTGCTGGGAGGTGTTTGCCACATCCAGATACCTCCGAAGCCTGGGGCCTGGTTCTCTGCTCTGCATGTCCCTCTCTTCTCTCTTTCCCAGAGTTCTATGATATCAGTAACCAAAAGTGTATCCGGGTCTTTACCTTTATTGACATGGATAGCTGTGTCATGGTCATGAACTATTGGTAAGTCTCACAGGAGATGGGTACCACAACACTGGGAAGGGAGCTGGGACCTTAGAGAGGCACCTAGGAGAGCTGGTTCTGAGCGCATTGCCGCATTGCCCCTCACTGCTTCTCCCTGGGTTTTGCACACTCTACCCTGCCCCCCTTTCTTCTCCCACCAGCCACCAAGTGTTAGCAGAGGCTTGTCCTGCTGCACTGAGGTCTCTGGGAAGTAAAGGGATTGAAAAAGAGCCTGAATTTTGGCTCAGTGGTGACTAGGGTATACTTGGCTGCTGGGCAGAAGGCCCAGAGCAAGTCTGGAAGTCTGTTGGAACTGCTCTTGTCCCTAAGGTAAGTAGGGCCCCGGGGCACTAAGGCAGAAGCTCCACAGTGAAGGGTTAATAACCTAAAAGCCTCAAGCATCCTGAGAAACTCCATGCAGGAAGATTTGACACACTGATAAGATCAGTAGTTAGGAGCAGGGAGGTCGGTTGGCAAGGGGTCACCATGTCATTAGGACCTCCCAGGAGAACTCCTGGCAAGGATGCCAGTGTGGCAAGAACCTCTTTTATGAGTATGGGGAAATAGAAAGCAGGTCTGCAGACAAAAATATTCTTACCCAAAAGTTCTCTTTACTTCCCTATAGAACCCCAAGTCCCCAGTGCCCTGGCCACACTCTCCACTCTCAGGGGGAGGCTGTCCTTTGTTATTCTGATTAAAGGACATCCCTCTTCGGTAGAGATCAGTCCCCTGCCTCCTCTAACACAGCATGCTCTATCCTAATCTCTTCCCAGGACGGACAACTGCAAAGGTGTGTTCTGCTTCGGGGACGCCAAGGGCAACGTGGTCATCTTCATCACTGAAAATGTGGCTAGCGGACTGTTCAACCCACAAATCCTTCCCCGGACCGCCAAATGGGGTAGCTGAAAGACATGGGAAGGGCAGAGGCCCGGGGAGTGGCTAGATGTGGGTGCTAAGTCGGCCCTGGGTCTCTGAGACGTTTTTGCCTCCCTGTCTCCCGGCTCTGAATCTCCCATAAGGTTCCTCGGCATTCAGAGGGTGCCCTGCCCGCTAGGACAGGAGTTAGTGCAGTGGTGACAGGATTTGCAGGGGAGGGCCTCCGGCTGCTGACCCTCCTCATCTCATTCACCAGGAATGCAGTGCTTAGCTCTGGCCCTGGGACGGCTCTCCTGTTTTCTGAGGCCCAGGATAGTGGCTCCATGCGATGACTGTGAGAAGGCTTCTGGTCTCCTTAGTTTTGAGCTGTCTCTGAATGGGTAGGAGTAGGCTGGCAAGGCAGGAGGGCTGTGATGGCGGCTAGGGGACCACCTGGCGTGGCAGCAGTGTGAATGAACATCAGTGAGCAGCTGTCTGCCGAGCTCTTGATGCGTGGTCTCCACCCACAAGGACTGAGTGACTTGTTACTGCTCACGAAGGGGGTTAGTGAGCTAAAGCTACCTGCACACACCCTGAGGCTGGGGAGTGGTGACTGAGACCTAAAGCTGAGCTGTGTATCCAGAGCCTCCAATTCTCACCGCTTTCTGGGATGTGCCATCGATTGAATAAGGAAGTTCTTTGGGTGCAAGGTCAACAGAGGCCATGGCCTGTGGCTGCCTGGGAGACTCACTGAAGCTGGATTCCATCCAGGATGGAACTGTAGGTGTGGTACTGGGCCCATAGTGACCCTAGAAGCCTAGAACCCTGGGGCCCTGCCTGCAGGGAAACCGGTCTCCCTTCCATCTAGGTCACTAGAGCAGCTCTTGCTGGGACTGCTAGCTAAGGAGGACTCCAAGGGTTCTCAGGCCTTGGCAAGGACCCCTGTTAAGTGTGCCTGTTGATGTTCAGGAAGGGAAGAAGCAAGTACTAGTACCCTGTTCTGTTGTTGTTGTTTATTTTTTATTTGTTTGTTTTGTGTGTGTGTGTGTGTGTGTGTATGTGTGTGTGTGTGTGTGTGTGTGTGTGTGGGCGATTAGACCCACAGCCTTGACTATATCAGACAAATTTTGTAGCACTGAGCTACACTGCCAGCTAGCACCCTGTCCCATCAGCCCCTGGTGGCTGCCTTGCCCTGGTCATGTTTGTGTCACCCTTGGAACTAGCTTAGGGATCGTGGTGATGTCTGTGATGAGAGGGGCATGAAGCAAGCCAGGAGTGCTGGGTGCTAGTCTTTGCAGACCACCTTCTAAGGGAGGGCTGGGGACAAATGTGAAGATGCGGTGAGCTGTGAGAGGGGATGCGCAAAGCTAGGAGGTGCATCCAGCTCTGGGTGACCAGCTGCTTAACCTTCTCATCCAGATGGGGGCAAGGACAACCAGGCTTAGTTTTTGGGTCTGCTTTAGGGGGCATGGAATGAGTATTAGGCACACAGAAGTACCTCCCAGGACCCCAGAGCCTAGTGGGAGAGAAGGGCAGTAGACACTGTTAGGCTGCAACTTTCATGTTAACAGCTGCAAGCAGCATCCCATCTGCCTCAGGATTTCTGTGTGTGCTCCTGTTCATGTATGTTGTGTGCACATGTATCTTCTGATGCTTATACATGTGTGTGCAAATGTGTGTGGTGACCAGAGGCCAACCACAGGCATCATACCTCAGGAGCTGTCCACCTTGTGTTTTGAGGCAGGGTCTCTTAGTAGGACCTGGGGTTCACCAAGCTCCAGGAATCCTCCTGTCCTCCAACCGTTCCAGCTCTGGGAACAAGTGTGGCTCTGGGAATTAAGGTGGCTCCTCCTTGCGTAGCAAGCACTTACAGACTGAGCTATCTCTCACCAGCCTGGGGACTTTTTTTTTTTTTTTTTTTTTTTTGCAAGCTTCCTGTTACCCCTGTACTGACCCCCTGATCCACCCCCCTCCAGTGTTTTTCCTTCGTGTTCCCTGGGAGTTGCTTTCAGACCTAAAGCCAAACTGACCAGCATTTGTGACCTACTTCCTTGAGCAGCTCCTGACCCTACAATGTCCCCTGGCACCACTGACTCAGCCATCTGTATCAGTTTGCTCTCCCTGGGGCTTCATCAGCTGCTGCTCGGGTGGTCTCCCAAAGTCAGGGCAGTCAGTGGGTAGGGTGCCTGGCATGTAAGAGTTGCTTACTCATGATACATATGTGCACCCTGTAAGTCTTGGGACTTTTGCCTTCTGGTCAAGGAGACCATGTATTCTGAGGCATGATGGCAAGCCCTCCGATCATCAGTTTCAGAGTGAACACAGCCTGAAGTCTCTGTTCATTCTCTGGATCTCACTAATGGAAGCCATCTTGTTCAGATGGCAGACTTGGGAGTGTGTGGACCCTGGAAGCCGGCCACTGTTGCACTGTGGGCCTGTAGGGTTATGCTGGGCAGCAGGGGAGCAGGTGGAGGCTCTGCTGAGCTCACGAAGTCACACGAGGCTCCAAGAAGTGGCTGTCTGGCTGGTGTTCTGGGAAGCGTGGCAGATGCACCTCAGGGAAGATCGGAGCTGCCAGAGGAGAGGCTGCTAATGAACACTCTGGTTGTTTTCCTGTCAGATCAATGGATCAATATTCCCTTGCAGAAACTCTTAAATGAGAAGTCCTCTCAGTACAGAAATTTCCGAGTGAAGGTGAGTTGTGTCTTTCCTTAGCCTGTAATTATCCATGTACATGCTCTACTCAAAAAAAAAAAAAAAAAAAAAAAAAGAAAGCCCCAAGTGGATTCACCGTGTAGACTCGGCCTCAGTCCCTGGGAGCTTGGAATCTAAGAACAGAGCTCAGGAAGCTGTTGCATCCCACCCGCATGTCTCTAGGACACAGGTGTGTCCCAGGGCTAGCCCTGAGTCTCTCTCACTGACTTTCCCCAGGCTGTGAAATTACCTTTAATTCTGGACAGCTGCTGGCTTCCTGTTTGGCCTTCCTACTCACTCTCTCTCCACAAAGTGCTTGCTCAATTCAGCAGCCAGAGGAAATCTGCCTTAGAATACAGTCACGTCACCCCGGTGGCTTCCTGTCATACTTGAAGCAATCTCTAACTTGAGCATCAAACACAAGCTGATCAAACCCCGGCCTTATACCATCGTTAGCCTCCCTACAATCCCCACCCCCCTGCACCAGAGTTGGACTCTCATGTATTCAAGGCCAGCCTTGAATTTGCTATGTATCCAAGGGGGACTGAGTTTCTGATCTTCTTACCTCCACCTTCCAAGTGCTGGCATTACAGTCATGTGCCTCCACATACGTGCTGTAAGCCCAGGCCTTTGAACATGCTAGGCAGGCCCTCTACCAACTGGGCCACCTCCCCATCTTCTGCTGTTCTCTGCTTGCTTTCTTCTCATTTGTCACTGAGACAGGTGCCTTTGCTTGCCCCAGAACTCCCCAAGCCCCTTCTCACCTTGGCACATGCTGTTCCTTTGTGTTGCAGAGGTCTTCTGCTTAGCTCATCTGTCATCCCCACACTTCAGGTCCTATGCCCTGCTGCCGCCTCTGCTGTGAGCTGGGTCCCCAGAAGAGATTATCAGCCCTCACTGAATTATCTGATTGTTCTTGTCCCATCATCCTCACCACAGTGATAGCCCCTCAAGGACAGGGGCTTGTGGGCTGTGTTCTCTGTTTTGTCTCCAGTTCCTGAAACAGTACCCAGGGCCCAGTGACTCCTGGTACATTGGAAGAACAAATGAAGGAATGAAGCTTTCAGGGAAGATCTGAGTTGGATACACTTTAGGAACAGGCACATGACCTCACAGGAAGCAGGACCCATATGACTCCCTCTCTTTCTTTCTTTCTTTCTTTCTTTCTTTCTTTCTTTCTTTCTTTCT